TGAAGTGTCGTTTAATCCCCTTCCCCGAGTGATTCCCAGGTGTGGCACACGTGAGCGGCGCAGGCGCCTGGCCCTTTCTCAAGGAGAGGAGTGAAGGGTCGGGGGGACCCTGCTCGTGGGTGCCCACCCGCTATCCTGGAGAGGAGGAGAGGCGAGTCTCCCCTTCCTGCGGGGGACAGCATGACATGGAGATCTGCTGGGGAGTCTGTCTGTCCACGGCTCCGGAGCATCGCTCCTGCCAGCTGCTGAGCTGAAACTGCCACTCCCAAGCTCCCCGATGGAGAGGCAAGGGCGACGGGGACCCACGGCGGAGGGACGTGGGCCTTGGGGGAGGGATTCATCCGCTTCTGAGCTGCTGCTCCCCTGCAGGAGTCTGCCGACTTCAGCTTCCCTTCACGTTTCTAATGAAAAGCTGAACTTCCCTTCCCACTCCCTTCCCTTCCCCAAGTCGGGGAGAGGCTGGAAGCGCAGCCAGGGCCGCGGGGTAAGTGCTTTCCCAGGCAGCAGGGCTTCCCCGCCTCTTGCTCCTCTGCAGGGAGGGAGTACTCTGCCCAGCGCAGTTGTTCAGGCGCCAGCACTGGAAGCCATCCCTGGAAAGCCCTGCCCCTGTTGGGTCTGCGCTGGGGCAGAGCCAGGAGCAGCTCCCGCGCTGGTTCGCTCGGGCTGGGGAGAGGGCTGCAGGAGGGCTTCCAGCCGCAGCCGTGGCTTGTGCCGCTCCAAAGCCCGTGCGCTGGGGGAGGCTCGCCTGGCCCCCCAGCACCTCCCCAGTGCCCCCGCTCACACCAGCGGGAAGGCTGTGCTGGCGGTGGCAGCCATCCTGTCCCGCTCCGCGGAGGAGGGAGGCAGTAAGGGGCAGAACTTCAGCTCCCATTGGTCTGCTATGTGCCTCGGTTTCCCCTCCTGCAGAGCAGATGGAGCTTCAGGGCTTTGTCTGAAGCGGGGGGCTGTTTCCTGAATGAGGGGTGCTCTTCAGTGCCTTAAACTCCTCTTGCCTTTCAAGGGATTAAGAGAAACTGGTTCCACCCCACCCACCCGACTCTGACATGTTACCGGCTGCAATAAATAAAATACCGGGGGTAAAGCCCTCCCGAGTGCCGTGCCGCTCCCCGCGCCCCAGTGTGGGCCCTCGTGCAATTGCCACCGTGTTGCTGCCTCTGTACGCGGCTGGAACTGGCTGGAAAGCCCCGGCAGTTGGCTGTACGTGGGGCACCGTTAAGGTGGCCAAGGTTGTGCCAAGTGAGAAATTAAACTGACTAAAGCAGAGAAAAGTCTGTTAATTTGTAATAATCTTGGGCGTGAAAGTCCATGATAGCAAATAAGTTACTTTGAGACAGCAATACGAGTTATTTTTGTTGTAAAGTTGGCTGCATCCCTTCTGTTTCGTGCCAGGAGCATGCAGAGCCGCTGGCAGTGCCAAGTGATGGTGCTGGTCCCGTACATTGTGCTGAAGCCCACCCGCGGCCTGGCCCTGGCCAGGGAGGGAGAGGGGCTGGGAGGTAGCCTTCCTCCCCGGGGCTGGGGCGGCTGGCCGGTGACTTTGCCTGTGGCGCGGTTCCTCAGTGCTCCGTAGGCCAGAGCTGCTCCAGGGCTGCTTCGCTCACCCCCAAAAGCTGAGCTCAGCACCCCTGGCTGGCCCCTGCTGAAACGGCAAGGTCTGCCTTGCTCAGATGGTGCTGGGCTGGCGTCTGTCTGTCCCCTCAGGCTGGCCAGGGCTCAGGGTGAGCGCCACGGATCTGTCCCCGGCAGCAGCTTGGTTGTGTTCCGGAGCTCGCAGCCCCGTGCCGTGGTGGCCAGCACTGGTGTCGCAGACCAGACTCGCTGCAGGCTGCGTGCTTGAGGCCACAGGCGAGGATGTCGGGAGCAGGTGACTGCGGAGCGTCATCGTTGTTGTAAGAACGGCTTCTTTACATCATTTTCCTTCTGTCGCTTTTCTGGAATCTCTCCTGCTCGCTGCGCTCTGCTGTGTGTGTGGTAATGCAAACCCATCTATTTCGCCCTGGTCTTTGATCTTCTCCTGCAATTATATATCAAATGGAGTTTGAGAAATGTCAAGTTGAGGCTCCTCTTACTAATGTATGAGTGCTGCAATGGTGTAAACTGCCCTTTGAAGCTGGGAAGAACTTTGAGTTCTCATGCAAATGTTGCGTACGTGGTTTTGAACTTGATTTCAGTACTGCATAAAGCTTTGCAGATGGCTTCTGACTTTGCATGTCAGCTAGCCAGCCTCCTCGGGCAGTGCAAGCGTTTTATCCTGGAGGGATAACATGGGAAGGGAATGTGTAGGGGCATCTATGCCTGTGGAGCACACAACAGTCTGGAACAAAAGTGACTGGATGGGCTTTTCCCCTGGAATGGGGGAGAGCGGGGGACGCGGGGAAGGTCCCACCGTCACCCTCTTCCCCGCAGGTCTGGCACCCCGGCGGTGTGCGTGGGAACTTGCTTGTGGGCTCGGGGACTCTGCGGTCCTCAGCATGGCAGACCTGTTCTTGACAAGTCTCCGTGCTGTTGTTAGAGGTGGTGCTTGAGGGTTTAAGGCTTTGGAGTGCAGAAAACAGAGTGTTGACAGGACGTGGTATTTTAATGAGGCTGCAGCAGCCCTGGAGTGGCCCGTCTGCCCGGCTCCCGCAGAACCCCCGTGTGCTGGTTCATGCAAAGTCCGTAGAGACAAAAGCTTGAATCTGTTACTACAGCGTGTTAGAGCCGAATGCTGGGTTTTGCCTATGTCCAAACAAACCTAAAGCTCCTCTGGAAAAGGGCGAAGAGGAACAAGCCTGTCCCACGCGTGCCCTTCTGCTGGCGCAGGAAAGGCTGCCACTCTCCAGGCAAACATTAGCTCTGCACTCCTGGCAGGGCTTGGCATCGAGGCGCCTGCCTCAAAAACGTCCTGTCCCACAAAGACGGCTTAGTTGTGAGCCAGCGTATGGCCCGCTAATGAAGATGTGCACAGAAATCGCCCGTGTGGATACACAGAGGCCTTCTGTCTCGTGGAAAGCCGCTCGCTAAACTGCCCGGTGTACCCCGGGGAATCTGGCGTCCAGACAAGGCTCGTACAAGCAGTTTCTCTGATGCCACTGGCGAGGCGAGCGTGAAGGGGCTGCTTGTGAGCCCCGAGTCGGTAACGCAGCTGCTGCTGAGCGGATCTGGCTTCTTGAAAATTGCTCTGTCCTCTTCTTTCTCCTCCGGTTGTATCCTTGCACTCTCCTGATGCTGCACCCCAGCCACAGCCTTGACTTGAATGGAAGTGGAATCAGACCCCGTACCAGTAGGTATAGCTCTCAAAACAAAGAATTGGCCCTGGCTGGGTATAACCAGCTGAATAAGGTCCCGGTGGTCTCGATGGCTTGGCTGGCCTGCTGGCCTTGCGTTTGGGTATGATGTTTGTGGTACACCGGCTTAGGGGGTGTTAGCAGGAAAAAACACAAATGGCTTCTTGGCCGTTTGCTCAGTGAGTTGTGCAGCTGCAGAGCACCACGGGAACCTGAGCCTGGAGCTGCAGACCGAGCATGCGACCGAATGCTCCTGCCCGGAGCTCGGCCTCGCTGCCTCCTTGCTCACCCTCCAAACCAAGGAGGTCGGGGAGAGCATCGCGCAGAAGAAATGCAGACACAGACCTGTTGTTTTTTTTCTGCTGAAGCATCGCTGAAGTCTTTTGTTTTGCTGTGGGCCTGGGTTCCCACCCGTGCTGGTGGCACTGGGAGGAGCTGCCTTGGGCTGACTCTCCAGAAGGGGGTGGCTCGCTGCCACAGGGACACCTTCCCCCTTTCTCCCGGAGCACGTTACACCATAGCCACTAGTGTTAAGCTGTTTCTGGACTATAGCAGGGGAAAAATGACTTGCTGGAAAATACATCACTCCCCTCTAGCAGTAATGTATTCTCCGTGCACTTGTCCGTTCCTTGCTGGCCTTCTCCGTCCCCACGGGGGGTTTCATCCAGTAAGGGCTCCAGTTACTGCTGATAACTTTCACAGTTTTCTCCTAACGTCTCAGCTCTGAGGAAGCATCAGGCTATATCCAGCTTAAAAACAATCAGTCGGTTTAGGGTGATGTTATGTGGACCTGGGCACCTCCTGGACCTAAGCCAATTCCACCCAGTAAATTGAAGACATTGGAGACTTGCTAATTCAGCCAGGAACCAGGATCCTCTGCGAAAGAGAAGCATGCAGTCACAGAGTGAAAATGTCTTCCTGAGGATTTGGCGACCTGGGTGCTCCCGAGTGTCACTGTGCTGCAGTGCTGGGGGCTGTGGTTTGCACCATCTTACGGCGAAGGTGACAGCAGGAACACCGGGAAGCTGGTCACACGGAGACCTTGGGGTGCCTCGGGTGGATAAACCACATGTGTGTGTGTGTGTATCTGTATGTGGGAGAGACCACAGTATTCAGCAGTACTGGTAAGACACAATGCCATTTACAGAAGTGATACTGGAAGTTGTGTGGCGTCGTTGACCTACTAGGATGTGCATAACGATACCCACCAAATGCGATTCCTTCCACTGAAAAAAATGGCATCACCTTTTTCCCCTCTCTGGGCCTGTGTCTCTGCCTTTGAGTGGAGTGGGAGTTCGAATTCCCGCTCCGTTGCCGCAGCCCCGAAGCGATGCTCAACTTGCAAAAAAAGGTTCTGCGCCCGTACGCCGACGTAGTGGGCTTCACGCCGCGCTCCCTGGCGAGCTCTGGCGCGCTGCGGGGCGTCCTCAGGACAGGTAGGAGGGGGGCAGTCTCTTTGCAGCCGGCAGGCGATGAAGCAGCACCTTTTCCTGGGCTGTAGGCACTGTGCACAGCGTCTAGGGCCCCAAGTTCGTGCAGATCTAAACCCGACATGCTTTAACTAGAAGTTAAAAAACAATAGCAAAAAAAAAAGAACAAAAAACCCTTCCAAAAAGCCAGCCCTCCCCCCAGCCGCCAAAGCCCTATCTTCAGATGCAGGCAGGAAAACCAAGGAGCCTGCACAGTATCTGCCCGCGCCCGTTGCGAGGCGTATCTCAGCCCTTGTTTCGGGGCTCGTTGGTGTGTGTTCGTTAGGTTTTGCTCCAGGGCAGAGCCATTTGCTCGCCCCGCGCATTGGTGCCGCCATGTTTGCCTTGCCGCGTGGCTGCCCCCCAGCTGGGTCGGTGGGGACCCCAGCCTCCTCCCCGGGAACCGCTGGCTTCTGCTGATCACCGCTGCTCCAGCCGTGTCCTTGTCGCCCCAAAGGGGTGCCCAGGGCTCGCTTTGCTGATAGGGACCCCGGGGGCAGGAATATGGGCTGGGGTCGCTTCCCACCAGCCCTCTCCCTGCCAGCGCAGGGGCTGGTGAACGGGCTGTGGACCAGCCCTGGGCCAGCCGAAAACAAACCAACACATGGTATTTTGTGGCTGCCTTTTCCAGCCCAATCGGCGCCCCAATGTGCTTCCCGGGAACTCGCCTGCATACGTCGGCACAAACGGCCAAGGCGAGAGGTTAAGTTGTTTTCATGCGTTTGAGTGTATTTCTTTCTTCTGCCACGCATGAGACATGCAGGGAGCTTTTCATCCATCCTCTGTTGCCTTTCCTGGCTCCTTCCCTGGGAGGATGTGGGTGTTATCCGTGTTTTGTAATGTGTCTGACAGCCCACGGGCTCGCAGCAGCGCTGCTGCTGACCAAAGAGTTTCCTCTTGAGTCACCGTGCGAAGACTCAGCTTTTCTGGCTTTTTTCTTGAGACATTTTTGGAATATTTTATTTATTAATTCTGTTGGTAGCACACTGGTAGCTACAGATGTGGCATCCCACATCTGCCTGCAAGCATTTCGTGGGTGGCTTCGCCCTGCTGTGTGCCAGCCTGCTTTTGTGGAGCACCAGCGGCGCAGAATTTCTGCGCAGTCTGAAGAACTGCAAGGTTTGCAGAAAGAAGAGGACAGCCTTCCCCCCGCGAACACGCGGTGCTCTTCTACAGGCCCTGAGCACGCCGAAATGAAAGCTCCTTGGGACCTGCTGGTGGCGTTCATCAGGCAGCAGTTATTTTTCTTACTAAGCATTAAACAGATGTTTCAAAACGTGTAAACCTTCTACCTGAGCTCCTGATACGCATGGAGAAAAAAGCTTTTGGAAACGTCTCGGTTTTGTTGGGGTGATGGTGGACTTTTCCACATGGCTTCTGTTTTGCCTTGCGGGCTCCTCTGCACTGTGGGCTGAGCTCCTTCGGGAGCGGCGATCCCCAGGTCGTGCTGGCTTTTCCTGTCTGGGGCACGTTCAAACATTGCCTTTGGGGCTGGTGTCCTCCTTTGTCACCGAATTCTCTACGCAGGTGAATGTGCAGCCGCGAGTTGTTCAAATGAGGGTAAGAGCAGCTGAGTAGCCTGAGATAAGTCCATAAATACAAGTAAAGCCCAGAATTGAGGTTGCTCTCTGCAGTCTGTCCTCTCTCCTTTTTTTTTATCCTGTTGCTCCAGCCAAGGCTGATCATGAAGTACAGAGGCCAGATGCTTTTAAAACGAGTAATTTTATTAATCTTATTGTACCTCGTAGCTGTGAAAATGGAGAACAAGGGACATGACCCATTCCTGTGCCATCAAATGATGAACTGGGGACCTGCAGGGTGTCGGGGGACCCTCTGTGGGGGAGGCACAGAGCCAGACCCCCCCGAGCCCTCGTGGAACGTGGGGCTTGCAGAGGTGCCCAGAGCAGGGGCGGCTCTTGGTGAAGCCCACCTAAGGGTGGTCTGCATGGCAGGAGGGTCCTGGCCATCCCGGTGCTGGTCAGGTGAAGGTGCCCGGGAATGCTCCCAGGTGGTGCTGGCTGGCACAGGATGGGCCCCATCCACGGCTCCCAGCCCTGGAGCAGGAGGGGTGAGCATCC